TTTTCTTTCATGATAATGTTTGGCTTTGTATCAGGGTAATGCTGGCCCCATAAAATAGGTTTTAGGCATCCTTCTTCTTCATTATTTGGAAGAGTTTGAGAATAATTGGCATTATTTCTTCTTTAATTGTTATTAGGATTCACCAGTGAAGCCATCTAGTTCTGGGCTTTTCTTTGTTGAGAGGTTTTTAAATTACTAACTCAAAGTCCTTACTAACTATAGGTGTGCTCAGATTTTCTATTTCTTCCAGCGTTAGTCTTGGTAGGTTGTACATTTGTAGGAATTTATCCATTAAATTTATCAGTTAAATAGGCTTTTCTTATTTTTATTTATTTATTTATTTATTTTGAGATGGAGTTTCACTCTTGTCACCCAGCTGGGAGTGCAATGATGCGATCTTGTCTCACTGCAACGTCCACCTCCCAGTTCAATCAATTCTCCCGCCTCAGCCTCCTGGGTAGCTGGAGTTACAGGCATGCACCATCATGCCCGGCTAATTTTGTATTTTTAGTAGAGAGGGGGTTTCTCTATGTTGGTTAGGATGGTCTCGAACTCCCGACCTCAGGTGATCCACCCACCTCAGCCTCCCAAAATGCTGGGATTTACAGGCATGAGCCACTGCGCCCAGCCAAATAAACTCTTCTTCTAGGTTATCTAGTTTGCTGGCATATAATTGTTCACAGTAGTCTCTTATGATCCTTTTTATTTCTGTTGTGTTAGTTGTAATGTCTCTTCTTTCATTTATGATTTTATTTATTTGAGTCTTCAATCATTTTTAGTCAATTTTGCTTACATTTTAAAAAACAATTTTTAGTTTTGTTAATTTTTTTCTATTGATTTTTCTATTTTCCAGTTTGTTTATTTCTGCTCCAATTATTGTTATTTCTTTCCTTCTGCTAACTTTGGGCTTAGTTTCTTTTTTTCTAGCTCTTTGAGTTGAAAGACAGGTTGTTTGAGATATTTTTTTCTTTTCTAATGTAAGCATTTCTTCTTATAAACTTCCCTCTCCATACTGTTTTTGCTGCATTCCATTAGTATGGATATGTTTTGTTCTCATTTTCATTTGACTTGTGGTATCTTCTCATTTCTTTTTTGATTGCTTTGACTCAATGGCTGTTCAACAGTGTGTTGTTTGATTTCTGCATATTTGAAAATTTTCAGTTTTCTTCTGCTATTGATTTCCAGTTTTCTTTCACTATTATCAGAAAACTTATCCACTATGATTTCAATCTTAAATTTGCCCAGAAATGTTTTTGACTTAACATGTGATCTATCTTTGAGAATCTTTCATTAAAAAAAAAAAAGCGTACTCTACTATTGTTGAGTGGAATATTCCGTATATGTCTCTTTGGTCCATTTGGTCTATGGTGTTATTTAAGTCCTCTCTTTCCCTATTGATCTTCTATCTAGGGGTTTTATCCATTATTGAAAGTGGGATATTGAAGTCTCTGACTATTATTGTATTGCTGTCTATTTCTTCTTTCAGCCTGTCAATGTTTGCTTTATGAAATTAAATGAACTGATGTTGGGTGCATATATATTTGTAATGATTATATCTTTCTGGTGGATTCGTCTTTTTATCATTATATAACGTTCTTCTTTGTCACTTGTGACAGTTCTCGACTAAAATTATCATTTGTCTGATATGAGTATTGCCACCCCTCCTTTCTTTTGTTTCCCAATTGCATGAGATTTTTTTTCCATGCCATTACTTTCAGTCTCTGTGTGTCTTTTAATCTAAAGTGAGTTTCTTTCAGACAGTGTATAGTTTGCTCTTTTCTTTTTTTATATGTTCAGTTACTGTATGTCTTTTCATTGGGGAGTTTAGTTCATTTACATTTATAAGGTAACTATTGATAAAGAATAATTTACAATTGCTACTTTGTTAACTGTTTTGTGTTAGTATTGTAGTGCTTTTGTCTGTCTTCTGTTGTTTCTTTTGTTTTTTTATTTTTTGTATTGATATGATTTGACTTTTTTCCCTCTGTTTCTTTTGTGTTTCCTCTGCAGATATTTTTGTTTTTGGCATTACCTTAGAATTTATATACATTTTAAATTTTAATTTGGAGTCTTGCTCTATTGCCTAGGCTGGAGTGCAGTGGTGTGATCTCGGCTCACTGCAACCTCCACCTCCTGGGTTCAAGCAGCTCTCCTGCCTCAGCCTCTGGAGTAGCTGGGATCATAGGGGCCCACCACCACACCCAGCTAATTTTTTGTAGTTTTAGTAGAGACGGGGTTTCACCATGTTGGCCAGGCTGGTCTCGAACTCCTGACCTGATGTGATCCACCCGCCTCAGCCTCCCAAAATGCTGGGATTACAGGTGTGAGCCACTGTGCCTGGCCTAAAATATTTTATAACAGCCTCTTTTAAGCTGATAATAACTTAAATTCAACTGCATATATATATGCTACATCCTAACTTCTTCACCCCATACATTTTATTGTCTTATTGTCAAGATATCCACCTATTCATATTGTGTACATTTAAATATATTTTCAGTTATCATTTTTAATATTTTAATTTTTTAAACTCATACTGGAATTAAAAGTGGTTTACCCACCATCATTACAGTAATGTAATTTTCTGTACTTGTCTATATATTTACCTTTATTAATAGGTTTCATACTTTCCTATGCTATCATGTTTATGTTTAGCAACCTGTTATTTCAACTTGAGTAACTCTGTGGCATTTCTTGTAAGGAAGGTCTGGTACTGATGAAATTTCTCAGCTTTTATTTTCTGAGAAAGTCTTTATTTCTCCTTTATTTTTGAAGGACTATATTGCAATATGTAGTATTCCTGGTTGGAAGGCTTTTTGGTTTTTTTCAACACTTTGTGTATATCATCTCTTTCCTTTCTGGGCTACATAATTTCCTTTTCATTTTAACTTTTTAAACTTTTTTATTGTTAATTGAAAAATTAGAATTGTGTATATTTATGGGGTGCAGTATGATGTTATAATATTTGCATACAGTGTGAAATAATTAGATCAAGTGAATTGATGTATCTGTCACCTCAAATATTTATCAACTTTTGTAGTGAGAAAATTTGAAATGTACTCTCAGCAATTTTGAAATATGCAATACATTATTAACTATACTCACCATGCTGTGCAATAGATCTCAAAAAAATTTATTCCTCCTGTCTAACTGAAGCTGTATCTGTTGACTAACATCTCTCAATTCCCCTTAACCCCTGGCCCCTGGTAACCACTATTCTATTCTCTGCTTCTATAAGTTTGATAGTTTTAGATTCCACATATAAGTGAGATCATGCAGTACTTGACTTTCTGTGCCTAGCATATTTAGGTAGCATAATAGCCTCCAGGTTTGTCTTTTTTATTGTAAATGGCAGGATTTCCTTCTTTTGAAATGCTAAATAGTATTTCATTGTGAATATATACATTCTCTTAATCCATTCATCTGTTGATGGACATTTAGGTTGATTCCATATCTTGGCTATTGTGGATAATGGTGCAATAAATATGGAAATGTAGATATCTCTTTGACGTACTGATTTCAAATCCTTTGGCTATATACCGAGTAGTGGGATTTCTAGATCATATGGTAGTTATATTTTTAGTTTGTAGAAGAACTTCTACACAATTTTCCATGATGACTCTACTAATTTACATTCGCACCAACAGCATACAAGGGTTGCCCTTTCTCTGCATCCTTGTCAATGCTTGTTATTTTTTGTCTTTTTGATACTAGTCTTTCTGGCAGGTATGAGATGATACCTCATTCTGCCTTTAATTAACATTTACATAATGATTAATGATTTTGTGCATTTTTTCACCTATCTGTTGACCATTTGTATGCACACACATCTCTCAAGAACAAATAATAATTTTCAGTGACAGTCTAGTCCAAACCCATGTTAAGGATAAAAAATTAACTCAGTGAAAGCATAATATTGTTAAGGGTTATGGAGATTTTGTTAAGGTCACTACACAGAACATTTAACATTTTAATCATAATAGGTAATATTTGCTGAGTGCTTACTCTGTATTGGGCACTAGAATTATCTTCGTTTCATAAAAAAGGAAAATAAGACTTCCAGGTATCATTCACCCAGGGTCACAAAGCTAATAAATGGAAGAGGAAATGGCACCAGGACTGTCTAACCACAGTCAACCCACATAACTACATCACAGAGCTGTCCTGGTTTCCACCAGTCACATTCAGATTAATAGTGGTAGCACAACTTTAAGATCAGTGGGGATGCCTGCGATACCTTAGTTTAAGTAATAAGGCTATTCTGGTAAGTTTGCTTCCATGGTGAATTGACATTGTTTCCTCTGGAGACAGAAAACTTCAACCAGCTTTTATTTTTTAAATGTTTTTTTCATAAAACCATAACACTAATTTTTTTTTTTTTTTTAGGTGGAGTCTTGCTCTGTCGCTCAGACTGGAGTGCAGTGGTGCGGTGTCAGCTCACCGCAACCTCTGCCTCCCAGGTTCAAGCAATTCTGCTTCAGCCTCCTGAGTAGCTGGGATTACAGGCACACACCACCATGCCCGGCTAATTTTTGTATTTTTAGTAGAGACAGGGTTTCACTCTATTGGTCAGGCTGGTCTCAAACTCCCGATCTCGTGATCTAACTGCTTCAGCCTTCCAAAGTGCTGGGATTACAGGTGTGAGCCACCATGCCCGGCCAACACTTAAATTTTTAGTTTTTATCAAAGTAACATATACACATCATTAAAAAAAAAAAATACTACTAAAGGGCTCATAATAAAACGTAGCAATATCCTATATTCTTCCCACTGCATGCCCTGCTCCCTAGAGGAAACACTTTCAACACTTTTAGCTGTTTCTTCAGAATTTACCATTCCCAAATCCCTTCTCCTTTGTCACCTCCAATTTAAGAGGCTAAACAGGGAGAGAGATCCAAGATGGCTGATCACTAGCAGCTCGGGATTGTAACTCCCAGTGAAAGCGCAAAGAAGGAGAGGACGCCACACCTTCACATGAATTCTTGTTGCTCACGCACCAGGAGATTCCCAGCGGAGGAGCCCCACGGGTCGCCAGCGCGACTCTTGTGACCGGCGAGGCGGTTTTGTCGGCACCTCGGAGCGGTGGTTCTTGGTGCAGAGTCAGAAAAGCACCATCAATCTTAACGCCGCTGATTTAGTCGGCACAGTGGGTTGCTCAGATTTCGGCGCTGAGAATCAATAAGTTGGACGTCCACTCAGAAACCCAATTACAAAGACGGTAATTATAAAGACCACATGGATAAATCTACAACGAAGGGAAGAAAACAGCCAAAAAAGGCTGAGAATACCCAAGATCAGAACGCCTCTCCCTCAGCAGGGAATCCCAGTTCCTCATCAGCAACGGAACAAGGCTTGATGGAGAACGAGTGTGTTCCAATTACAGAAGCAGGCTTCAAAATGTGGATAATAAGAAACTTCTGTGAATTAAAAGAACTTGTTCTAACACAATCCAGAGAAACTAAGAACTTTGAAAAAAGGTTTGACGAAATGTTAACAAGAATACACAATTTAGAGAGGAATATAAGTGAATTGATGGAGTTGAAAAACACAATACAAGAACTACGTGAAGTATGCACAAGTTTTAACAGCCGAATTGATCAAGCAGAAGAAAGGATATCAGAGGTCGAAGACCAACTCAATGAAATAAAACAAGAAGACAAGATTAGAGAAAAAAGGATAAAAAGGAACGAGCAAAGTCTCCAAGAAATATGGGACTATGTGAAAAGACCTAATCTACGCTTGATAGGTGTACCTGAATGTGACGAAGAGAATGAATAAGCTGGAAAATACGCTTCAGGATATTATTCAGGAAAATTTTCCCAACCTAGTAAGGCAAGATAATATTCAACTCCAGGTAATACAGAGAACACCACAAAGATATTCCTCAAGAAGAGCAACTCCAAGGCACATAATGGTCAGATTTACCCGGGTTGAAATGAAGGAGAAAATACTAAGGGCAGCCAGAGAGAAAGGTCAGGTTACCCACAAAGGGAAGCCTATCAGACTTGCAGCAGATCTCTCAGCAGAAACCCTACAAGCCAGAAGAGAGTGGGGACCAATATTCAACATCCTTAAAGAAAAGAACTTTCAACCCAGAATTTCACATCCAGCCAAGCTAAGCTTCATAAGTGAAGGAAAAGTAAAGTTTTTTGTGAACAAGCAAGCACTCAGAGATTTCATCACCACCAGGCCTGCTTTACAAGAGCTTCTGAAAGAACCACTACACATAGAAAGGAATAAACAGTATCAGCCTTTCTAAAAAATACCAAAAAGAGCATCAATATAATGAAGAATTTACATCAACTAATGGACAAAATAGCCAGCTAATATTAAATGGTAGTATTAAACTCACATATATCATTGTTAATTCTAAATTTAAATTGACTAAATCCCCCAATCCAAAGACAGACAATTTAGATAAAAAACTAAAACCCATCAGTATGCTGCATCCAGACCCATCTCACATTCAAGGATACACAAAGACTCAAAACAAGGGATGGAGAAAGATTTACCAACCAAACAGAGAGCTAAAATAAATAAATAAAAAGCAGAAGTTACAATTTTTGCCTTTGATAAAATAGTTGTTAAAGCAACAAAGATCAAAAGAAGCAAAGAAGGACATTATATAATGATAAAAGGATCAATGCAACAACAAGAAGAGCTAAAGATCCTAAATATGTATGCACCCAATACAGGAATACCCAGACATATAAGACTAATAAAGAGACTTAGACTCCCACGCAATAATAGTCGGAGACTTCAACATTAATATTAGACAGATCAATGAGACAGAAAATTAACAACGATATCTAGGACTTGAACTCAGATCTGGAACAAGTAAACGTAATTAACATTTATAGAACTCTCCACTTTAAATATACAAAATATACACTCTTATCAGTACCACATCATATCAACTTAGAAGTTTAAAGGAAATGTTGGTTGGCTCCTTGTTTGTTACTCTCTTCTCTCATTTTCTTTCATGTCTCCATTATTAAGCACAATTATAGGCATACCCATATTTAGACTGCATTCTAGCCCGGGCAATAAAGCAATACCCCCATTCTCTCTCCCTCTTCCTCTTTGTCTTTCTTCCTCTTCTTTATTCTTTTTATTATTCTTTTTTTCTTTCTCAAAAAAAAAAAAGAAGAAAAAAAAAAAAAGAGGCTAAACAACCAGCTGTTTGCTTTCTTACCCTCCTTTGCAGCTAAGGATGGCTACATTACCCATCTGTAGCCAATGAGACGTTTGCTGGGGCCCTTTCACTTTCCTGAACAAAGAGACATACATAGCTAATGCCCTCCCCTTCCTTCTTTCTGCTTTGAATATATTTTGAATATAGTCATGCTGTCTGGAGCTGTGACAGCCATCGCGTGACCATGTGGGGATTCGCATGAGGACGAAGACAGCATGTTAAGGAAGCAAGTCAGAAAGAGCCTGATTTCTTGATAACATCATTGAGCAGCTAAACCCATGCCACGTTTCTTGTTAACTGAAAATAAATAAATAAATAAATAAATGGCCATGTGTGTTTAAGACACTGTCAGGTGGGTGTTTTGTTTGTTTGTTTACTTATGGCTGGAAAGAGTTTTAAGTGATGGGTTGCCACGATTCTTCATCATATTCTTCATCTGACTATTTTTCTAACTTAGCAATTTGAGATATATCTTTTGAAATCTCCTTATAAAAGAACATTTATCTCTTTTTCATCCCTTATTTTCCCTCCATTTATTTCTTTCTTTCAATATGTTTATATCCCAGTTTCTAGTAAATCAGTAGTCACTACAAAGTCAAGACATGTACTATAATTACCTTTAACATTTTTTAAGATAGGCCTGGGCGCAATGGCTCAAGCCTGTAATCCCAGCACTTTGGGAGGCGGAGGCAGTTGATCACGAGATCAGGAGTTTGAGACCAGCCTGACCAACATGGTGAAACCCCATCTCTACTAAAAATACAAAAAAAAAAAACAAAAACCAAAACCCAAAATTAGCCTGGTGTGGTGGCAGGCACCTGTAGTCCTAGCTACTCAGGAGGCCGAGGCAGGGAGATGGAGGTTGCAGTGTGCCGAGCTCATGCCATTGCACTCCAGCCTGGGCAACAGAGATTCCGTCTCAGAAAAAAATTTTTAAAGTATTTCTGGCTTTAATCATTGCTTGATTTTTTTCCCACTTGAATACACCTAGCCTTTGTTTTTCACATTTGGTTTATCAGCTCATTTATAAACCTATTAGCATATTTTTTCATAAATGTGCAAATATATCAGCCCATTGATTGAAAAACACAATAAAATACTGACTCGGAGCTCTGTGTAAGGGGAAGGGGTTTGTCAGGTCTACTACTGGAGTTCCCTTTAAGGTGACTGGATGGAGACTTGCATAATCTGCCAGAGGACCTCTAAATACAGAATGTGGAGGCCGTTGCTCTGGGACTCTGATTTCTTTGGAGAACTCTGATATTTTGCTGGAGTGTAGATACTTGGCTCTTGTGATTTCTACCCATGCAGTAAGGGGAAGGTGGAGGGAGATCAACTGTTTTAACACACGCTTTGAGTTATCCCCTATTTGAGGCTTTATGTCTTGCTCCCACCATCAGGATACCTTTACTGCACCTCTCCAGGATTTGGCAGGGTAGATCAACTCTCTCCCAGTGGGTCTCTTCCTACATGTGGACTCTGCTCATGCCTTTCCCTGCCCTGACTTCTCAGTTACCATCCGTCCCACCCCCTTCTTCTTGCCAGAAAGTTATTGAAATCTCTTCACCACTGATGGGACCTCCTCCAGCTTTCTTTGGAGTTGTGAGTTTATACATTTCATTCCTGTACTCTTATTTTTTTAGGATCTCAAGAGTTAGGGGAGACAAATGCATTCAATCTTCTTGAATGCAGACCCAAATCTGCCACAGACTATGTGGCAACATCTGTGAACCATTGACAATGGAAACAGCATGTGTTTGGGAATCTTACGGATTTGGGTTTGAATTTTTACTCTCTGTTCTCTTTACTCAGCTCACTTGTATCCATGGGCCTTAATTTTCTCCTTTGTAAAGTTAGAACAATAATGTCTAATAATAATGTCTACTTGTTGGAGTTCTAGGGAGATTTCTGTAGATACTATATATAAAGCATTCAGCATAGGACATGGTAGCCAGCAGGTTTCAGAAAAACAGGAGTGATCATTTTTTAAAGGAAGCAAGTGATTGAAAATATTTAAATCAAGTTTTGTGAGGGGTTGGGGGCTTGGATGCCAGGATTGATTATTCTTGACATTGAGAGGCCTTGGTAGGCTTCTCAGCAAGAGAGTAACTTGATCCCAAATAATTCTTTTGGATTTTCCCTCATCTCTTCTAGGGAGGAAGCAAGAAGCTCTTGGCCCAGCAGCTCTTGGGTTAAAATCTTCATCTGCATCTGAGTTATTTGTAACTGTTGTCATAGCAACGAGTTTGGCAATTGAGCCAGTGCTGCAAGCTCCTGACAGTGTGGAGTGGAGGGCAGTGAAAAAAGATGGAAGATTCAGAATTGGGGTCATCTGTAACTAGCATCTTACTTTTCTGATTTATCTGAAGCTTCCAGATTAAGATGAGGGTGAGAGTCCTTCAGGGAAAGTCATTGGATGTTAGAGACTCTCCTCTCCAATCTGGAGATTTTAGATATCTCTGATGTGAAAATAAGCTGTGAAAGGTCCAGCAGCTGACTCAAGGACACAGCAAGGTAGGAATGGAGACAGGACTAGACTTTTAAAAAAGGACTTAGGGTCATGGAACTGAAGCATAACAAACTGGGAGGGGACCTTTAGAAATGTTTCCTCCACCTCCCCACCGACACACACATGCCTTTTTGTGTTGTTCATATCAGGAACCTGGACCCAGAGTGGTTCAGAACAGACTCAGCTTCACACAGCAATGCCGGTGCTGACTTGAGATCAAAACCCAGAGGACTCGGGCCTCACAGACCTGGGTGCTTCCAGAGGAGGTGGCAGTCTAGGAGTCACAGTCCAGAGATGTGCCTCTGCTGACTGCCAACACAGGGCCTCCCAGAGTAAGACTGATTTGATTGCCTTGACTTCTGACTGCCTTGGCCTTTGGCCTCCTCAAATCCAACACGCACGTGTCCAGGTCACATTTCCCCTCCATCGCGCCCCCCTTTGT